AGTCGAAGGGTAGTTGGAGTGTGGGTCATCTTCAAATAAAAAGCCAACCCCGGAATAGAGTGAACCAGTGCACCGTGGATTGAGGAGCGTGCCCTCGCCTATCTGCTGGTTGATCCACTATGTTGTTTGGCGTTTGAAAGATCCTAATCAGAAGTGATGAAGAAGGGAAGCTCAAAAATAGGTTCCAGAAAAATTGATGTAATAGCCACGTAAGGCAGCATGTAAATGGGCTGAGTAAATGCTCAGGTAGGATAATGTGGGTGCTACTTCGCAAAACATGTTTCACGCCTTCACCATTTTTCTTGGATTTTTAATACAATAAATGTAAAGTGATTCACTAATTATGGGACAACCTAATACTTCACTTGAAATGGTACGTTCAGCATAGTTGACTCAAGCCATAGACTCATATCACCTTATGGCACGGTCAATAAACTTGCTAGCGTACAACAAAGCAAGTTATCAATTGATGAATGGAAACACTGACTCTGTTGACCTCCTCTGTTTTATTTTGTTGCTCGCGACGGATTTCTTCTGCAGTCAGATCGAAAAAATCCGCAGGTAATCTCGGCATCGGAATACGCTCATTCTCGCCAACGTGGTAGATCTAGAGCTGCGGATTGGTATAAACCACAAGGATTCCGATTCGATAATGAAAACTCGTGCAGTAACGGTAGCTCAAACCAACCGTTGTTTCACGCGACACTTTGATTGGGACGCTCTGTCCATCTCTTAACAATGACAACGCGGTGACTAGATGACCTGTATCACTGGCGGCGTTTTCAGGAATAACAAGGAACCTTTCGGGAGCATCGCCATCTTTTAGAGGTTCCATTGTTTCTTTGAAACCAACAGCATTGAGAAACTGCACGCCACCCTTTGACGCAAGCCACTCGTTCCTAAACCTGTGTATCTAGAATCATAAAACTTTCTTTACTGAAAGCTAATCTCACAACGAAATGATATTTACTGCCGTATACTAGCTATAAGATGGCTTCACTCTACTCTGATCTTCCGAGTGATGCATACACCTACTTTTCCAGTCTTGCTTTACAAAATGTTTTCGAGAGAAATCTCTAATTAGGAAATGCGCTACATACGTGTGCTAATGCAATTTCGCACATCAACACCAAAATTGAAAAGAGAGTAAATTTTTTACCAAATTTAGAAGCGGAGATGGTGTAGTGGCAAGGGGCGCTACTTAACGTGGGATCAGCCCGTTGACCAAACCCTGGATCGTCCGCGGCCCAAGCAGCCGGAGCTTTCCCTCCGGATCCGGTTTTCAGTACCAAACTTGTCTGCGAGATTGGAAACGCTGACTTAACACATTGCGTACCGCGTGCGCCACCATGTGGCGCACGATTTCGCACGAAACAGCATAGTTTTATCTGATTTATTTGACATTTTTCAATGCTCCTGAACTGTTTGCACTCATTTTCAGAGCCGGGAAACCATACGTGTCATCACTGATAAAATTGTTGATAGATTAATGATGATACATTTTTGAAAAATATAAAAAAGATACGAAGGTGCTCATACAACGGCGGTCCGCAATGTGTTAAAGGACGAATTCACGCTGAAAAAGCAACCCATTTCAAATTAACCTAGGGATGGTGAGT